TTTTCTCCAGATTCAGAAGGGCTAAACACAAATGCAATTTATCCTTGCCACCAGAAGAGTATGTTGAAATGGCTGTTAATGGCTTAGAATTTGAGCTTCGTAAGAAGTTTAAAGGAGTACATTTCCATGATCTATTCGATTTGACCAATATAGTGGCTAAGTATGAGACCTCCTCCGCGAAGACCAGGATCGTAAGTCTTCTTCCAAGGGTACTTACTATCGTCATCCTAACTATGAGGTGTTTACCACTAATACAGAGGGAGATTTGGAAGTTAATATAGCTGAGCTCAACATAAAGAAGGCCTATACTTGTGAGCCTTTGGCAAAACCAAAATCAACCACGACCAACTTATAGACCTCCTCTAGTTCCAAGTGGAAGGGGGCAGACCCTTCCAGGAGTTACTCTTTTAATATTTCCAAAGCCGAGCAAATATTTGATTTGCTCATGGCTGACAAGTAACTGATCTTCACAACAAGCCACAAGATGCCAACGGCCTCTGAAATTGCTGAGAAGGAGTATTGCAAATTCCACAATGTGTTGAGCCATTCTACAAATAATTGTGTGGTTTTTCGTAATATTGTGTAGAAAGCAATTGATGATGGTAGGCTGAAGTTTCTAGAAAAATCAGAGGTGATGGGTGTTGATGGAAATCCTTTCCCTAAGGTCGTTGCAACAAATGTTGCTTCTATGGTTCCGAAACATCCTAAAAAGAAGGTGGACTTGACAGATCCAGTGGTTGGTGGAAAGCTGGAAATTCCTAAGATAGCAGCATCTATGGAGAAAACAGTGACTGAGTTGGAAAGGCAACTCCGAGAGGCTCAGATTGCCTTAATCCAGCAAGGTTGTTGCCCCAAGTGTAAAATTTAGAATGAAGGTTGCAATAGAGATTCTACAAAAGAGAAGTGGATGGAGAAGTTTTCCAGTGACGATCAAGGTCAAAAAAGGAAGATCCATGACCTGCTAACTTTCTAAAAGGTGAAAAACACAGTTACTGTGACCATTCCAGAGAAGGAAAGCCGATTCTATACTGAAAGAAGGGCAGCAGAAAGGAGACCAGAATTCCTTCCAAGAAGTTTGGAAATGAGTAGGGTTCCTTATGAGGCAAAGCCTCATCCTAGCAGAAGGTATGAAAGCAGCAAATGGTATGGCAAAGCATCCGAGGGTGATAGCTATTCCAGGCCAAAAATGGCTTTGGAAGTTTGGATTAGAAAGGGAAATGAGCATCTCTGTCCAAGAATGGTTAAGCCTCCTACCTCACAAAATGAGAGGTGGAAGAGGCTTGATCATCCCAAGTTTCTGGTTCATGATGATTTTTATTTGACTTGCACACAAAAGCGAAGGCAGTAAAGGAAAATGGTTGATAGAAGAAGGTTATAGGAGAAAGACCATGGCTGGTCCAACTGGCCAAAAAAGACTACTAAACCATTAGACTTATCAAAACTTCAAGCTAAAGGAAAGGAAAGAGATCCTGACGATTTGCTAGATCTTGATTCAGAAGTTGGAAATTCCATGACTGCAGAAGACCCTCCTACAAAAGATAGAACAGACTTGGAAATCTCTAACAGTTCCAGCAGCAGCAAGAAAATCTATTTTGGGAGCCTTCCAGGTGAATTTACTTGCAATATGGTAGTGGTTCTTCCTTTATGTTTTGAGCCATAGCCAAATCAGCCCAATTCAATGGAAGGGGATGTAATAAATACAAGTCCTCCCATGGAAAGCCCTGGACAGTCTAGTTCTGGGCCAATCATTATGGAACCGAATAATGGTATTCATATAGAAGAGGTTTTTGAAGATGAAGCTGAGCATCTCCAGAAATTAAAGGGGGTTGTGATTGAAGAGAACAGCCCCACGAGGCCAAAGAAAATTGTGTTGGAAAAGCCACCATAAGGCATGACTCAGCAGCTCAAACCTTTTTATATCAAGGTACTGGTGGAAGAAAGGCCCCTGGCAAGAGTTCTAGTGGATAATGGTTCAGTGCTGAACGTTGTTCCAGTCAATGTCATGCGCATGCTTGGAAAGTCACCTGAAGACATTATTCCAACTAATGTATCCATTAGTGGATTCACGGGAGGAATAGTGAAAACGCAAGGAATTCTACCGTTGGAGTTAACTGTGGGAGATAGAACTTCCATCACATCTTTCTTTGTCATTGAGTCCACAGCAGCCTATAATTTGCTTTTTGGTCGTGAATGGATTCACCCAAACTTTTGCATCCCATCTTCACTCCATCAAATGCAAATATTTTAGGATGGAGATGAGGTAAAAGTGGTGGAGGTTGACAACTGGCCATTTGTGGCAAGGGTCTACCATGCAAATGCCAAACTATATAGCGAAGAATTCGTTCCAATCAGATTTATTGGAAAGGATAACAAAGGCCGTCTAAGGAAGGCCACCATGAGACGAACTCTCATAGAAGAGGAAGTAAGGGAGCTCTTCCAAGGAACACCAAGGCCAATAGTTCTACCCAAGGCCGGTGTTCAACACTACATTTCAGACAAAAGTTTTTATGGAATGGAAGCCTAAAGAAGATAGAATACTTGGCCAGGCGGTTAATTGTTGCCTTGCCAGGTTGAAAGCATATCTGGTCGAACTACGGCTGGAAAGGACTTCAGATGCCAATACTTCATTTTTAACCAATGTTTTGGAGATTTTAGAAGATATTGAAGACAAGTTGGATACTATCCAACTAACAAACTTGAAGGCAGCACCAATGAAGCTTGATGATCTTAAGGTCGAAGTGCAAGATCCACTTTTGGAAGTTAACCTTGGAACGGAGCAAGACCCTCAGCCTACCTACATTAGTAAGCTCTTAGAACCAACCTTCAAAGAAGAATTAATTTCCTTACTTCATGAATACAAAGATTGCTTTGTATGGACGTATGAGGAAATGCCAGGACTTTCCAGAGAACTGGCAGAGCATAAGCTGCCAATTAAGGAAGGTTTCAAGCCTTTCAAGCAGCCTCCAAAAAGGATGTCCCAAGAAGTTGTTCTGAAGGTTAAAGAAAAGATAGAAAGGTTACACAAGGCTGGTTTTATAAGAACCGCTAGGTATGTAGACTGGATTTCCAACACAGTTCCAATTATTAAGAAGAATGGCAAGCTAAGGGTATGTGTGGATTTCTGGGATATCAATCTTGCAACTCCAAATGATAAATACCCCATACCTGTTACTGACCAGTTAGTAGATTCTGCTGCTAAGAACGAAATTCTTTCATTCATGGATGTATATTTCGGGTACAACCAGATTTATATTGCAGAAGAGGACATTGCCAAGACAGCTTTCAGATGTCCAGGATCCATTGGAACTTTTGAATGGGTTATCATGCCGTTTAGGTTAAAGAATGCCGGAGCAACATACCAAAGGGCTATGAATGCCATTTTCCATGACATGATTGGCCATTTTCTAGAAGTATACATTGATGATGTAGTCATCAAGTCCTCGGTTAAGGTTCAACATCACCAGAATTTGAAGATGGCTTTTGAAAGAATGAGGCAGAATTTAAAGATGAATCCTTTGAAGTGCGCTTTTGGGGTTTCAGCTGGAAACTTCCTGGGTTTCTTCATCAAAAAGGGATTGAGATAGACCAAAATAAAGCAAAGGCAATTATTGAAGCAAAGCCACCGGCCACTAAGAATTTATGTGGACGGAACAGCACCAGCAAGCCTTTGAAGGTTTGAAAAGCTACCTGGCCAACCCTTCAGTGATGATGCCGCCAATCAAGAAGCGGCCTTTAAGATTATACTTTTCAGCCGTTGATGAATCCATTGGAACTCTTTTAGCTTGATGGGTTAAGCACTCACGATAGAGGAGGAGCTGGAATAGTTATCATTTCACCAAAAGGAAGAAAAATCATATTTTCTTTCTTCTTAGATTTCAAGTGTACAAACAACCAAGTTGAGTATGAGGCATTAATCATTGGGTTAGAAATCCTGCTAGAGTTAAAGGTGGATAAAGTCCAGATTATTGGAGATTCCAACTTGATACTTAGCTAACTTTTTGAAGAATATAGATGTCTTAACTCGCATTTGAGGCCTCTCCACTCTTTGGCCTTGGAATTACTTTACCAGTTTGATGATTTCCAGCTCAAGTATTGGCCAAGGCATTTGAACATGAAAGCTGCTGATCTAGCACAACTACCCTCTCGAGTGAAAGTCCCACCGGGTGTAGAAGACACCTTGATACAAATTAAAAGAAGGACTATCCCTTCTATAGAATCACGGTATGAGATGGTAGGTCATTTCCAAGTTGATGAGCCAGAAAGAATCAAACCTGCCAAAAAGACATGAGAGATTTTCAATGTTGATATAGATGGTTTAGATTTGGATGATTGGAGAACACCAATTATTCATTTCTTGCAAGATCCTAGTGCCAATGTGGACAAGAGAATTTAGCTTTTGGCACCGTATTACATTTTGATTGATGGAGATCTCTCTAAGAAGAGTAAAAAAGATGGACTTTTGCTAAAATGCCCTGGCAGGAACGAGTCCATGAGAGTAATAGCAGAATCGCACCTTGGAATATGCGAAGCTCACCAAGCTGGAATTAAGATGAGGTGGGTTCTTAGAAGGTACGGTTATTATTGGAAAGGCATATTAAAAGACTGCATAGAGTTTACAAAGACTTGTATTGTATGTCAAGAACATGGCCTGGTCCAAAGAGTTCCAGTTATAAACATGCAACCAATAGTGAAAATTTAGCCATTTAGATGGTGGGCGTTAGACTTTATTGGAAAGTTAAGGCCACCATCTGCAGATGGACACACTTACATGGTAGTTGCAATAGATTATTTCACAAAGTGGGTGGAGGCAATTCCATTGAAGACCTGTGAGCAGTCAACAGTGATTAATTTTATCAAGAAGCATATTATACACAGGTTTGGAATTCCAGAGACTCTCACCACAGATAGAAGCCTTTCCTTTATGGGAAGTGAGGTTATTGATTATTGTGCTGAATGTAGCGTTCAAGTAATCAGTTCTACTCCATACTTTGCCCAAGCAAATGGACAAGCAAAAGCCTAACAAAGTAATTCTCAACATCCTTAAAAAGATGATTGAGAATCATCCAAAGGAGTGGTATCACTTGCTTTCTGAGGCCCTTTGGGCTTACAGGAATTCAAAAAGATCAAGTACGGGTATCACACCATATATGCTTACTTATGGACATGATGTCGTTCTTCCAATGGAAATGACAATTAGGTCTGCAAGGGTAGCTTTCCAAAATAGGCTAACTCTAGTATATTACAACTATGCCATGTTGGTGGAACTAGAAGACCTTAATGAAGTCCGTCTAAATGCCCTAGATCATATTATTGCTCAAAAGAAGAAAGTCATGCGGGCATATAACAAGAAGGTTAAGGCAAAGACGTTTGTGGAAGGAGACTTGGTGTGGCAAGTCAAATTTCCACCTGGAATCAAAACTTTGGAATATAGAAAATGGACTCCTAATTGGAATGGTCCTTACTTGGTGGAACGAGTCCTTGGAAAAAGGAGCTTATAAATTGATGGATATAGATGGAAAATCACACAAGCATCCTGTAAATGGTGTATACTTGAAGGAGTATCATCCTTTCATCTATGAAGATTGGAAATCCACAGTCATTCAACCGGCCACATAATGTGGCTGGTATATTCTTTTCTAAGTGAACCAGAAAGTTGGAAAGGAGGCATATTGGCCATACTTTGGCCATTCTGGTAGCTAAGTCAATATGGAGGAAGAATTCATTTCAAGAAGAGGCTAAGTACTTAGAAAGGTACATTGGCTAGAGTAATGAGGAGGACTTAGCTATATTTTTTCAAGATCAGCTAATTTACTAAGTATGGAAGACTTCAGTGAGAAAGTGGCTACACTACATGGACCAGGTTTTGTTCATATTGGAAACTGTTCATCTTGCCTGTATATATATGCATTTCCATTGTGGCAATTTCTTTTATTTCTCTAAATTTCTTTGTTATGGAAAGTCATTTTATGGCTAAGCCTTATTGTCAATACATGTGAATGAGTTTTCTAGTTTTGATGATTTAAAGTCTTCATATAAAAGTACATGCAAAGGATTGAGAAATAAAACATTATCCTATTAGATACTAGACTTCATTACAAATCCAAAATGGCCGCTGACCCTAAAAACTGGACATGTAAGTGATGTCAAAAGTTATCTACTTATTCCCATCCATTACATCATAATTTTCATAAAAGCAACCGCATAGAAGAACCATCTGGGATTAAATAGAGGCAAGAACACCTCCAAGTTCCATCCAAATTTTCCTTGCTTCTCCAAGAGTAGCCAATGCTCTAACCTTAGCATCTTTAAATTTGGGAAATTCATTAACCCGTTTTTCCCATTCCTTCCTTAAAGGTTTAGATGCATTGTGTTGACCCTAAAATCGGCCAGTTAGAGCGGATCTTAATTTGATGTAAAACGGGGGTGTCAAAACCACTTATGTGGTTCGATTTTAAACAATCAATGTTAGTTCCTTTGAGAAGGTTGACTTTCAGACAATGCGAGGAAAAAGGAAATAATAAAATTCCTCTTTTGAGTTCAATAATGCCTTAGTTGAAAGGACTTTACAGTGAATAATTTATAGTAACGTATCAAGATAATAGAAAAGGGAGGAAAATATATACAGCAAGAAGAGAGAGGAAAAGAGAGATAGAAGGAAAGAGAGAAATAGATAGAATGAGAGATTGAGAGAAATAGATAGAAAGAAAGAAGAAATAGCAAGGATGCTATTCTTAGAAAAGCTTGAGAAAATAAACAAATAATAATAATGATTCTGAGGGTGCTGGACCTCTAGTACAGCATGCCTCTTTGATTATTTATAGAATAAATTACAAAACAAATTCCTAAACCCAAGCATTCTAGTTGTATTCTAATACAATTAAGTAATTATTCAAATTAAACAAATCCTAACTGAATACTAACTCTTAACTCTATTTAAATACAGGATAAATATACAACTTTTATCTAATGTATTTAAAAATTCAAAAAATCTTCTATCCTATCTGCAGTGCCCTTGTACGTGGCTTCATTCTTGTATAACCTCTGATATGTCATCCAAACCAAGCATAATCCTTGTGAAGCCCAATCTTCTTCTAACTGCATCACTATCCCAACCGAAGCCCAAGTTAATTGTTTAGTCCATGTAGACTACAAATATATCGAATCCCAAACTTATCACAACATGCTTTTAGCCCAGTACCTCTTAACCCAATATCTTCCTCTGTATCACTGTTCATCAAGCCCAATGGAGTCCAAACCCAATTACCAAAATAGGTGTCAACAATGCCCCCCAATTTTGGTAGCCGTTTTAACTCTTCGGCTTCCAAATTCAAATACACCCATTGCATCGTAACTTTGTATACCTCTTATAATCCTATCAGCTTTATCTTAACTCACATCCAAAAACATATCGATTATGATAACCCATCCTATCGCTCATTAATTCTCACAGTAATCCCTTTAACCTTTCAACTACACACAGTTTTTCCATAAATCAACTCCATTTTGCAGACTCTACTTTCCCAATGCGCTTCCTTCTTCTCCAAATTTCTCTCTGTCTAAACATTTCTATAATCATGATTTCAAAACAAACGAAACAAAGTGATATGAATTTGGAAAACCCTTTTTCCAGAAGCGACATCGCATACACAACTAACAAAATCAACGATCAAAACCTTAGATCAAGTCGAATTGGATTCCAACACGTTGATCGACGTCACTGAAAACGCTAAGGGACTTGGCCCAGTGTTTCTTAATCGATTCCCTCCTTCCTTATTTCCGATTTGTCCATAAACCGAATCGCACCTTCCTTTCTCCAAGACTCTCTATCTAACTGCAGAAGGGGACAAACCAACTCTCTCCGTCAGAAACTGGCACCCACCAATGCTCCAATGGAACGATTAGGTAGATCGTGTATCAGTAGCAAAAGGAAAGTAGTGGAAAAGGATGGGTATCTTTGACCTCATTCAGCTTAGTAAGATTCCCTTTTCCTTTGACCGAGCATTATTTTTTGCCTTTTTGCACTTCTGGTCCCCCACAACCAATTCACTATACTTGCACTGTGGCATGATGGCCCCTACTTTAAAGGATGTTTGTTTTCTAACGGGTTTAAAGCCTAGAGGAGATGAAATCAATTATCTTCTCCAAGATGAAGAAACCTCCTTTTACTTTCCAGAACAAAAGGGGCTAAACCCTATGTGTAATCACATGGACCATTCTTAAAAGAAATGTTAGGGGAAAAAGGGACTGACGTAGATGAATAGGAACATATAGGGTTTTTACTATTGTGGTTGTGTAAGTATTTGGTGTGTGCCCCTACTATCCAGATTACCAATGACCTTACCCAATTAGCCATCGCATTACCCAAAGGAAAACCCAAGGCTTTAGCTCTATTCCTATTTGTGTCTTTGTATAGAGGCTTATCTTCCCCAATTCGGCCTGCACCAAATGATCATTTGCTGTCATTTGTGTATGCTAGAGTAAAACCCAAAGACCATTCCTTTAATGATTGTTTTCAGTCTATCATCAATGCAAAATTAGGCCTCAATCCCAATTCCTTCCCTTTTCCAAATGTCAACTAGCTTCATCCTAGTTGTTTCCTCCTACTGCCAAGTCTTCAGCCGAATAGATTGAACTCTACAACAATTCATGGGGCCATTTCTGATGGGTCTCGTCGACTATCAATAATAATCAACCCTTTGCAATAGCACAAATCATTGTAAAATAGGGCTATTGGATGGGTAAGTCGAACCATTGGGACTGCTAGTTTATGGCAACTAATGTCTTTAAATTCACTTTTTGTTTGATGAAAGGTGTATAGAGTTTTGATTGGCTTGTCACTTAGTAACTAGAATTGAAATGTGCATAAAACAATAAATGTAAGGAATTTAAGAGGAAGAAATTTAGAAACAGAGGTCTAGGGAAGTGAATCCACTACCTACCCTATTAACATGCTAGTTGATATTAACTTGGGGAAACAATATATATATATATGGCCATAGAATGCAGCAACACAAAATTACTACATTACCTTCAAGAAGTTCATGAAATCAATAGGCAAGAATAACCTATCAAAGTTTTACATGCTTTAACTACCTAAACTAGGGTATAGCCTTAGATATAATCACTAAGCTAGAGATTATCAAGCCTTTAATTAAATGATAGGAGCACATGAAGTTAAGAATCAAGATTAATCCATCAAAGGGAAGCCCTAAGCCATGGACTAACAAAGTTCTCATACAACATGCCATGAAAACCATTCCACAATCTCATTTTCATTGTCACTATGAAAAATTAAGGCATACAATCATGAGAAAATATGATCAAAGACAAGATAATAGATTCAACACAATCATTTATACGAATTCAGGTTCATTACATCAAGTGTAACCTCTAGATTATTAAAGAATCACATATAAACATCATTTTCCCCAAAATAAACCAAGACTAGAACATGCTTACTAGAGAGGGCTTCATCACCTCCCTAGATAGGGAGTTAGTTGCTCATGGATGCAAGAGAGGAAGGAGAAGGAGTGATATTCCACTCTATTTTCACACCTTGAGCTCAAGAACACACAAACCCCCCACCTTACAATATTTCTCTCTCTAGAAGCTTGCTAAAATGTGAGATAGATCTAATAATAGCCTCCAAGCCCTTATTTATCCAAATACATCCTCATTTTCCCTCCATTTTCGTGGCCCAACAATCCTAGGAGAAATCAGGACCACACAATGGGTCAAGGGGATAGCCTTGAACCAAATAATGCAGACCACATAGAGCTGTCTGCAAAATGGCGGGCGCAGGTTTCTGGTCTTATTGGCGGGCGCCCGCGGGTTTCCAGTGGGTGCCCGTGGTTGCATGAAGCTTCTGGGCATTTTGGCGGGCGCCCACCATATCTGGGTGGGCGGCCGCCGCTTGTCAAGTAGCGGGTCTTCAATTGGACATACGGGTGGGCGCTCGCGTGATCTGGGTCGGCGCCCGCCGAGCTTCAGGGTTTTTGCACTAGTTTGCTTCAATAGCCCATCTTTGCTCGGTCCTCTGGTGCAGCCATCTTTCCTAGCACTTTGTAAGGATAACCATGAGTTCGTTGAGTCACTGGCTTGGCCAGAACGAAAGCTCCCGGCAACGGATTACTTTGATCTTCAAAAACTCATCAAAGTGTCACTTTTAACTCTTTTTGGGGAACCAATATGAAAATAGACAAAAGTATGCAAATAAAACTAAAATATGCAGTATAATCAACTAATGGACTTAACTAATGCAAATAAGGGGCGCTTGAATATGCAATATTTGGCGCTTATCACACCCCCAAACTTACATTTTGCTAGTCCCATAGCAAAACCAAAAATAAAACTCTTAACAAAATAACAACATTTGACATGCTATCCACAAGCATCAATCATGGAGCAAGAAAATACTTACAAAGCTCAATTGCAACTTGGAACAAATAGAAAAAAATTGGAGACGGGATCATTAAGCAGACTACCTTGCATATATGAA